GTCATTTTGACCTCAAGCCATATTATTTAAGAAATACATTTTGTAAGGCTATAGCTTCTCCTTGATGGATGTGGGCCAAGTCACTTGAACACCTTCTAGGAATTGACCATTCTAAATGTCATTAAGAACATTCAAGTTTCATGGGAAGAGATCAAAATATCAACATTAGTAGGAGTTTGGAAGAAGTTGATTCCAACCCTCATGGATTATTTTGAAGGTTTCAAGACTTCAGTGGAGGAAGGAACTGCAGATGTGGTGGAAGAAGCCAGGGAACTAGAATCAGAAGTGGAGCCTGAAGATGTGACTGAACTACTGCAATCTCATGATAAAAATTTTACAGATGAGGGATGGTTTCTTATGGGTGAGCAAGGAAAGTGGTTTCTTGAGATGGAAGCTACTCCTGGTGAAGATGCTATGGAGATCGTTGAAATGACAGCAAAGGATTTAGAATACTATATAAACTTTGTTGATAAAGCAGCAACAGGATTTGAGTGGGTCAACTCCAATTTTGAAAGAAGTTCTACTGTGTGTAAAATGCTATCAAACATCAATGCAGGCTACAGAGAAATCTGTGAAATGAAGAGTCAATTAATGTGGCAACCTTCATTATTGCCTGTGTTAATAAATTGACATAGCCATGCCAACCTTCAGCAACCATCACCCTGATCAGTCTGCAGCCATCAACATCGATGCAAGACCCTCAACTAGCAGAAATATTATGACTTGCTGAAGGTTAAGATGATGCTTAGCATTTTTTAAGCAATAAAGTATTTTTAATATTAATTTATTTGGCTGCACCGGGTCTTAGTTGCAACACATGGGATCTTTGATCTTCATTTTGGCATGCAGGATCTTCAGTTGCAGCATGTGAACTCTTAGTTGCGGCATGTGTGACCTCGTTCCCTGACCAGGGATTAAGCCCTTGTTCCCTGCATTGGGAGTACAGAGTCTTAGCCACTGGACCATCAGGAAGTCCCAATAAAGTATGTTTTAATTAATATGTGTACACTTTTTTAGACATAATGCTATTGCACTTAGTAGACTACCGTATAGTTTAAGCATAACTTTTATATGTGTGGGGAAGTCAAAAAATTCCTGTGACTTGCTTTATTGCTGTGGTCAAGAACCAAACCCTCAATATCTCAGAAGTATTCCTCTAATCATGAGGCACAGGATATGAGGAGGGGCTGTGTGAGAGAAGAATCCTCATGGCTGCCAAACTCAGACTAAGTCAGCAGAAGACAGTTCTCCAAAGCACGAGGGCCACCTTGATTTAATAGGCAAAACCTGTGTGGAGTACAGTTGTCCCTCCATATCCTTTAGTTCTGACTCCATGGATTCAACCAACCTCGGATTAATAATATTAGAAAAAAAAATCGCAAAAAGTTGCAAGAAGCAAAATGTGAATTTGTCATATGCAGACAACTATTTACATAGTATTTACATTTACATTTTTTGTTGTTGTTCAGTCACAAAGTTGTGTCTGACTCTTTATAACCCCTGAACTTCAGCTCACCAGGCTTTAGATGGTATTAAGTGTTATAAGTAACGCTGGTGACTTAAAGTAGGTGGGGAGATGTGCATAGGTTATATCCAAATACTGTGCCATTTTACATAGAAGACTTGAGCATCCACAGATTCTGGTATCCTAGGGGTGTCCTGGAACCCGTCATCCTTGCTTACTGAGGGATGACTATAATACAAGTGAAGCTGGCAAGCTGACAGCAGAAGCTTCTCTACAACTCTGCTCCCTTCAATAGTTCCACCTCCTCTGTTTCTAGGTCACTTTCTCAAGTACCCTCACTCCAGGCATCCTTCAAACAGTCCCTTACTGGAAAAACCATTAATTTTTTTTTTCTGTTGTCCCCACCTACCTCATATTTTCACTCTCTTGTTTACTGAATTAAAATTCCATGATCAACTGTTATAATCAGTGATTTGCATACACCCTCAACTCCCTTGTCTCTTTTTCACTTCCTCTTACTCATGCAGGAAAGCTCCAACATTGCTTTAATCAAGCTTTCTCTATTCTGAGCTTTGTCTCGTGCAGCTGAATGTGGGTGGGAAAAAACCTGCAACTGTGCCGCAGAGCCCAGTTTCAAATTCTTGATGTCTAGTGGGCTCTTTCACTGCCTGGTTATCAAACTACATCTCCTTGATCTTTTCACCTTCTGTTATTCTAGGTGACTTCTTCGTGCCTTCTCTGTTATCTTCAGACTTCAAAGTCTTTACCCTCTCCCACCCAAATTCACTGTCAGTTGATGATCTTGCATTCTATACACAGAAGAAAAAATAGAATCAGTTCATGACCAGAACACTCATCCGTCAGTGTTGTTTCCATGTAACCTGCTTTCTTTTACTGTTTGGAGGTGCTTTACTGAAGGGAATCTCCTGGGAGGTATGTAGTTGGTTTGTGGCCTCTGGTTGATTTACTTTAGTTTCACTGCAGTTTACACCGAGGCCCCCCCCCCCAATTGCCGCTTGGGCTTCCCCCAGCCAGTGACTGAGCATGGTGTGAGTACCAGAAATGGGTCATTTTTGCTCCACATGCAGTTCCTCAAATAGGCAATCCTGCTTGAAGACTCCCTATTGAACCAGTTAAGACTTTCTGAGTGGTACTGCAGGTTTGAGTCTTCCTACCTAATCTTCTGTTTTTCTTTCTCATTTGAAAAATATTTATGGAGATATACTTCACATACCATACACTTCACCTATTTACAGTGTATAATTCATTCCTTTTCATTATATTCACAGTTATACAACCATCACTTCAATCAATGTTAGAACATTTTCATTACTCCCTAAAGAAACCCATACCCTTTAGCTGTCACTCTCCAAATCTCCCATCCCCCACAGCCTTAGATAACCATTAATTAATTTCTTGTCCTTATAGATCCGACTCTCCTGGATAATTCATGTAAGAGCAGTCATATACTTTGTGGTCATTTGTGACTGACTTAGCATGTTTTCAAGGCTCATCTATATTGTAGCATGTATCAGTACTTCCTTTTTTATTGCTGAAAATATTTCATTGTCTGGGCACACCACATTTTACTTATTCCCCACATTTTATTTATTCATCAGCTAATAGACATTCAGGTTGTTTCAACTTTTTGTCAATTATAAACAGTATTTCTGTGAGCATCCTGTACAAGTTTTTGAAAGGATATTTGTTTTCATTTCTCTGGTGTTTATACCTAGGAGAAGAATTGTTGCTCCATATGATAACTCTGTTTAACCCTTTGAGGAACTACCCAATCCTCTTTTATTTCTTCTGTTTTTCCCCAAGTCTCAGGCTTGCATAATGGTCTGAAGGCACTTTGTATCTACTTCTGATCTCTTTTGTCTTAACCCTTCACAGATTTTTCTCCCGGTAAATCTCTGGCACATCTAATTTTATCCTGGCACCTACTTCTCATATGACCTAAACTTATACATCCTGGATGAATGCTCTGTGCTCTCATGTAAGGCCATACTTTTCATTTACGATCTAGATTCTGTCTTCTCTTCCTATTCAAGAACACTGCTCTAGCAATTCCCCTTTTCCTTCCTTCAACATAAATTGTTACCTTTCATCTGGACCATTCCATTGGATTACATACACAGTTATTTTCACAATTGTTCAATTAATTAAACAATTATTCTCTTTGCCCTACTTCCCCTTCTAGCACTTTCCATCTTTCTCTCTTCTACTTTAACAAAACTGCTTCTCTGATTTCTCCTCTTACATATCTAATAAGCTTCTCATGCTTAACATATCAAAAAAATTTAAGTGGATAGGAAATAAAAAGAAAACATTTTGAACATGCTCTAATTAGAGACTAGTTCTCCTGAGTCTTTTTAGAAGAAACTAATAAAGGATGAGCTGAGAGATAAAGAAACTATAGCAGAATGACTGAAGAATATTGAATCTCTTATTGTCGGACTAAGAATATAGATTATAGCTACAGAACATAATGCAAATTTTTAAAAGACATAAGTTATTAAAGTCATTCTAATACTACCCATTTGTAAAGCTCAAATGATATCTTTAAGAGAACATCTTTGTGGAGAGACAGAGCTAACTTCAAATAGCAACTTTAATACTTCGTAGTTATGTTACTTTGGACCAGTTAATTTTGCTGAGTTTCATTTCTTGTGTGCAAAATAGAAAGAATTCTTACCTAATAGAATGTATAACAAAAACCATGAAGAATTCATTCATTGAATAGATATTTATTGGCACATACCATTTATCATGCACTGTCCAAGGTGCTAAGCATACAGTATGAATATAACAGACAAAGAACTCACTTTATAACTGAGGGAAGACAGACAAACAAATAAATGAAATATATGTGAAATGGTAATGCATGTCATGTGTGCATGCATGCTAAGTCAACTGTAGCCTGCCAGGCTCCTCTGTTCATGGGATTCTCCAGGCAAGAATACTGGACTGGGTTGCTATACCCTCCTCCAGGGATCTTTGCAACCCAGGGATTCAGTCTGCATCTTCTGTGACTCCTGCATTGTAGGCTGATTCTTTATCACTGAGCCAGCAGGGAAGCCCAATGAGTGTCATGGAGAAAACCAAATCAGGGTATTGGTGTCGGAGTGCTGGAGGCTGGGATACATTGGGATTTCAATTACATCTCATCTGAAGGATGTGATATGGAGCATGATCCGTGGGCATAGGAATGTGGGGAAGGGGCCTAGGAGAAGTCTCTGCCCTGCTTCCTGGCTGCAGCTGCAGTTACTGTTATAGCTCTTGTAATGATCCATTTTGACTTCCCTAAAGCAGCAACTCTGACTTCTACGACTTCAGACCAAAGTCTTCCAGTGGGATACCTCTGGAAGTACCAGAGGTATAGAGCATACCATGGTTGTGCTCTATAACTGAGCCACAAAAAGCTCTGTCTTGAGCTGTCAGTTTCTTACAGAGGCCCTGGATATATCAGTATTTTATTTGAGTGTTCTTGATTAAATTCTTTCTCTCCATTCTCTTCCTGACTGTGACACAGGTGCTGGATGTCTGGGCTGGAGGGCAATCTTTAACAACATCATCCTATGCTTAACTCAGTTATCACTCATCACATCTCCCGATACTCAGTCATTTTCTCCAGGCACACTTCTGCACCTCATCTTCTTCCCTTAAGGTAAGGGAATTAATTCCATATCCAGAACTCTACCCAGGCAGTTGAAGTGGTAACTTTTTTCCTGATAGCCTAGCATATTATTAATACAGAAGCCTCATTTTTTACCTGCTTTTGTTCTTTTTCTTTTTTTTTCCCCTTTATATTTATTATGAAATACCTAATATAAGATTATACTGTTGGCTTTAGTGGTCTTTGAAATTATTCTTTTTTTTCCATTTATTTTTATTAGTTGGAGGCTAATTACTTTACATCATTGCAGTGGTTTTTGTGCTTTTGTTCTTTTTCATTAACCACTTATATGACAGTATTTGTTTAGCACCTATTTCATGTCAAACTTTGATTGATACTGGACATGTGATGGGGAAACAAACAGATTTGTTTCCTGCCTTTATAGTCTGCAGGGGTGACTTTGAATGCTTATTCCATTGATTCTTCCTACACCTACCCTACCAGCCAAAGAATAGGTACATTGCTTGGACTGAATTGTATTTTTTTGCAACCTTTGTAGAATATGGTATCTATGCTTGATGACTGTATCTCATCAATGATCTTTATGGTGATTATGATAAGGTTCTTCAGCATCAATCCTTTCTGATTTTAGAATTTGATTTCTGTTGTATACTCAATGCTATTCAATTTAAATTCATTGCATTTTAACAATGTAATCTTAATAAAACTAGGGGTTCCTATATGGTCTAGGCATTATAAAGTAGCTGTATTCAAACAAATGCAAATTGATAATCAAGAGTAATTAGAGAGAAAATTTGAGTTTTTTTTTAAGGGAATGAAATTGTAACCAATATATAACATAAAGCAAAATGCTTTCACATTCTCCTTGCCACCTGTCTCTTATTTCCTTCCACATACTACATAAACTCAAAATAAAGATTTCTTTTTTTATTCATCCCTCAAGTCAGGTACTGTACCTGGGCCTCACACATCTTTTGTCTTTCCCACCTTCTGTGCATGACTTGTTTGTTATTATTGTCAGCCCAAGCTCTCTGGCTTACTTTTTTATTTTTCACTTAACCCATGACTTGGATTCTATGCCATTGTGGTTTGTTTGGTGTTTTGTTTTGTTTTGTTGAATGGAGAAACGTTTCTTGTAGGGCTAAGCAAGGAGAATGTGGTGGCTTATGCTCAAAAACCTGAACTCATATAATAGTGGTTCTTAAACTTTAGTGTGCCTCAGAATCATGGAATTCTTGTTTAGAACACAAGTGACTCACCTCCAGAGTCTGATACATGAGATCTGAATTGGGGCTCAAGAATTTACATTTCTAACAAATTCCGTTAGTACTGTTACTGCTGGTCCAAGGATCACATTTTGAGAACTACTACTCTACAATATAGGAATATCTGGCAGCTGTTCCAGCAAATAATAATTTATCTCTGGGTAAGAAGCCTTTGTTATACACTGTATAACATTAGATGATCTCCTTATATGGTAATACAAAGCTTAAGAATTTATGAGTCATCTTCTGTCAGCATATTTAACATCCAGTAGGTAGGGATTGTGTCTGATAGACCCTGGTATAATGCACAAAGAATGAAAGAAATGTTATTTTATTGCTTGATTACATATACAGGAGACAGAAAAGTGGGGTTGGTATGAAGCTCTGAAGCCAGGTTCTCTGAGATTTGGTCCTGCCTCTGCAGAATTTCTGGAAGACCCTGGGAAAGTTAGTCTCTTGTGTCTCAATTTATTTCTTTTGAAATGAAGATAACAGAAGTAGCCATCTGTAGTTGTTGTGAGGCTCAAATGATTTACTATGTATAAAGCCTTTGAAGAATGACTGGTATATTGCACACACTCTGATATTACTTATTACCATCAGGAACCTGTTGTCGTCTCTATTTTACCTCATGGGCTTCCCTGGTAGCTCAGATGGTAAAGAATCTGTGCTACAGGAGACCTGGGTTTGATCCCTGGATAGGGAAGATACCTTGGAGAAGGGAATGGCAACCTGCTCCAGTATTCTTGCCTGGAGAACTCCATGGACAGACGTGCCTGGTGAGCTATAGAGACAGTGGAAAAAAATCCAAATGAAACCAAAACAAAACTCCAACAAACAAAAACACCATTATACAAAAAGAGAAACCAAAGAAATAGCATTCGTTTTTTTCTCCAAATGAATGGTTATATCAGTGTTCAGTGGGAGACAGTACTAGGTGTAGATGAAAGAAGAAAGTCATTTTCCTGGTTTTCCTCAGTTTCAGTTTGAGAAATGTAGCATGGTATATTAGTTTCTTTGACTGCTGAAACAAAATGTCACAAACCAGAGACTTAAAACAAATAGGAATCTATTATTTCACAGCTTTGGGGGCTAGAAGTCCCAAATCAAGCTGTTAGGAGTGCCATCCTCTCGCTGAAGCCTCTAGGAAAGATTTCTTCCTTGCCTCTTTTAGTCTCTGGCAGCCCCAAGTATTCCTTGCTGTGAATGTATCGCTCCAGTCTCTGCCTCCCTTTCACATGGTTGTTTTTCTGTGTTGTCTCTGTCTTCTATACTCTTAAGGACTCTGGTCTGTTGGATTAGGGTCCACCCTAATGACCTCCTCTTAACCTAATTACAAACAAAGACCCTATTTCCATATGTCACAGGTACAGGAAATTAGGATTTAAACATAACTTTTGGGGGAAGAGAATTCAGTCTGTAACAATGGGTTCAAGTCTGATCAATTATTAATAACAGTCATTTAAAATATATGGCATTTGCCTAAGTCTGATAAGACTGATTCTGTAGACTTTAAAGCACCTCATAGTCATTCAATTCAAATAATCTCAACAATAGTCAAAAAAGACATAGGTGACTTAAAAGCATTTTTTTTTTTTGAGGTAAAGACATAGGTCACTGTGATAAATCTTAGGTCTCAAAGAGAACTGAGAGGACAGAAACGTCGATAAAGCAAGATTACCTGAAAGAAGGTGCTCTCTTAGCACCAGTTGCCCCTGTGAGGAGGGAAACACTGGTTTTCTCTTTGGCTAATTCTCATGATGTAGAGATAAAGGACCACAGGCTCAAAACCTTAGGAAGAGAAGGCATCAAGGGAAAGAAAAAGGGGAAAATAAAGGTGTAGTTAAAGATGAATTATAGATGTTGGAGATATGTAACCAGTTAGGAGTGAAAGTTAAAATTGAGAACTATGTCATTTGTCATTTTCCGGTTCATTTATATATTTCATAGGTAAAACTGAAATTCAGAGTATTTAACCACATTATTAAGATGCTTTAATATCAAATCAAATTTTCCTTTGATCAGTAGTGTAGGTACAATGGAATGACCACAACGTTACTGTGGCTATGACCCAGAAAACTCACAAAATTATTACGTTACAGAGAAAGTAGAGTGAAGTGATTAAGAAAAGAAAACTAAACAGTAGTGATAGGAGTGATGTTTTATAGGAGGAGGCACCTTTATTTTCTGCTAACCCATGGATTCTGTGTAATGTCTTCAGTTCAGTTCAGTTCAGTCGCTCAGTTGTGTCTGACTCTTTGCGACCCCATGAATCACAGCACGCCAGGCCTCACTATCCATCACCAACTTCCGGAGTTTACCCAAACTCATGTCCATCAAGTCGGTGATGCCATCCAGCCATCTCATCCTCTGTCGTCCCCTTCTCCTCCTGCCCCAAATCCCTCCCAGCATCAGGGTCTTTTCCAATGAGTCAACTCTTCGCATCAGGTGACCAAAGTATTGGAGTTTCAGCTTCAGCATCAGTCCTTCCAATGAACACCCGGGACTGATCTCCTTTAGGATGGACTGATCGGATCTCCTTGCCATCCAAGGGACTCTCAAGAGTCTTCTCCAACACCACAGTTCAAAAGCATCAATTCTTTGGCTCTCAGCTTTCTTCACAGTCCAACTCTCACATCCATACATGACCACTGGAAAAAACCATAGCTTTGACTAGACAAACCTTTGTTGGCAAAGTAATGTCTGTGCTTTTTAATATGCTATCTAGTTTGGTCATAACTTTCCTTCCAAGGAGTAAGCGTCTTTTAATTTCATGGCTGCAATCACCATCTGCAGTGATTTTGGAGCCCCCAAAAATAAAGTCTGGCAGTGTTTCACCATCTATTTCCCATGAAATGATGGGACCAGATGCCATGATCTTAGTTTTCTGAATGTTGAGCTTTAAGCCAACTTTTTCACTCTCCTCTTTCACTTGCATCAAGAGGCTTTTTAGTTCCTCTTCACTTTCTGCCATAAGGGTGGTGTCATCTGCATATCTGAGGTTATTTATATTTCTCCCGGCAATCTTGATTCCAGCTTTTGCTTCTTCCTGCCCAGCGTTTCTCATGATGTACTCTGCATATAAGTTAAATAAGCAGGGTGACAATATACAGCCTTGACGTACTCCTTGTCCTATTTGGAACCAGTCTGTTGTTCCACATCCAGTTCTAACTGTTGCTTCCTGACCTGCATACAGGTTTCTCTAGAAGCAGGTCAGGTGGTCTGGTATTCCTACCTCTTGAAGAATTTTCCAGTTTATTGTGATCCACACAGTCAAAGTCTTTGGCACAGTCAATAAAGCAGAAATAAATGTTTTTCTGGAGCTCTCTTGCTTTTTTGATGATACAGCGGATGTTGACAATTTGATCTCTGGTTCCTCTGCCTTTTCTAAAACCAGCTTGAACATCTGGAAGTTCACAGTTCACGTATTGCTGAAGCCTGGCTTGGAGAATCTTGAGCATTACTTTACTAGCATGTGAGATGAGTGCAATTATGTGGTAGTTTGAGCATTCTTTGGCATTCCCTTTCTTTGGGATTGGAATGAAAACTGACGTTTTCCAGTCCTGTGGCCACTGCTGAGTTTTCCAAATTTGCTGGCATATTGAGTACAGCACTTTCACAGCATCATCTTTCAGGATTTGAAATAGCTCAACTGTAATAGAATGTCTTAGATTGTGACTAATACTTATATAGTTATGCTTGACTTTATGATTGAAGATAGAATTCCAAAATTGCTGGGTAAATTGATTTTTAAATGACATGCAGTTCAGCACAGGGAATATAGCCAATGCTTTATAATAACTATAAATGGAGTTATCTACAAAAATTTTGAATCACAAAGAAATAAATGAAAGGCATCATATGGCCCCCCCCAAAAAAAGACATACATTTTCCCTGTTGTAATTTGAGAGTGTTGTTTTTTTTATCTTTTTAACATTTTCTTCTTATCATTCTCCCATAATCCAAGTTATTTCATTGTGAATACTCTGACTCTACTAGATCTGGTAAAAGTTAAAAGGAGAAATTTGTCATAAGGAAGTTTCAAGATACCAGATACAGGAAGTTTCTTTGGGCCATGTAAGGAAGAGGAAGCTGAAAACCTAAGAGAATTCATTCTTGGTACACTGTCTTTTTTTCTCCCAAAGCAAGTCAGCTTTCTATGCAACTCCACGTACATGAATACAGATAGAAATCTTACAACTTTAGAGCATGGGTAACTTACTCTAAAAGAACAAAAAAGTCTGAGCAACTGTCTTTGAATCCCAGTTCCAAATTCCTCAGCGGGGAGACCATAAATGATTCAGTTTGATTTAGGTGACAACTCATGGTATAATCCAGTTATGGGGGGGCAGGGTCACAATCCATAACACAGGGGCTAGAGGCTGACTACTCTGGGTGTAGAGAACATTTCTCAATGAAAGAGGGCAAAATCCTTAATCTAAATAAGGACACAGGAATTAACACTCTATAAACTAATAATTGCTTCCCAGGTGGCTCAGTAGTAAAGAATCCACCTGCTAAGCAGGAGATGTGGGTTCAGTCTCTGGATGACAAAGATCTCCTGGAGAAGGAAATGGCAACCCAGGTATTCTTGCTTGGGGAATTACATGGACAGGAGAGCCTTGCAGGCTACAGTCCACGGGGTTGCAATAGAGGCAGACACAATTTAGCGACTAAATAACAACAAACTAATAATTATGCCGGGGGATTTCTACTCTTGAGAGTGAATCTTGGTATGGATCTTTTTGTAAAGAAACATATTTTTAGTGAATTGGTACTACAAATGTTTTAAGTTAAATTTTATTGTAAAGTAGAGCATAATTCGGAGAAGGAAATGGCAACCCACTCCAGTATTCTTGTCTAGAGAGTCCTGTGGACAGAGGAGCCTGGTGGGCTGCCGTCTATGGGGTCGCACAGAATTGGACACGACTGAAATGACTTAGCAGCAGCAGCAGCAGCAGGACATAATTATATAATAGATGCTTTGCATATTTTGCCAAATAATCATCTTTACCTGAAGGAGGTTATTTATTCCTGGCTTACAGATGGGGTAATTAGTTTTTATGCACCAATATTAAACTTATCCAGTTATCTCAAGGGAAAGAGGGACCTGCTTGCCAGGAACACCTTTTTCTTTGAGATTCTAATGAAGGATGAAAGGATTGATTTAGAGATAGGGATATAAATAAATGCAGAGGAAATTTTGAAAAAAAAATTTGCCATATCCAGCCAGACTTTGAAATGAATTGTCCTAAAATATGTGAATGATTCAAAGTAAAACAACATTGCTTGCTTATCTGTCTACCTGATTCACACTCCTGACTTTATCTTTTGGCATGTATTACTAGGCCTGGGGTAAATCAGCCTCTCTCCATAGCTCTTTTCTTGATGCCTTTAGAAGAGTAAATCTCTATCCTGGAAGGAAACAAACTAATTTGTGGATTTATCCCCAGTCTTTTGTTTGGGCCTGTTTCCTGTTCCAAGGGGAATAACTTTCCTATATCTTTTTCTGCTCTTAAGAGTGTTTTCATTATTTCATCAGCTAATGGCATGATTTATTTTTATACAAATGCAGAACTTTGCGTTTATCTCTGTTACAACTCAGCCCTTATCATTCTTGCCCACACAGTTCCATGTCATGCAATCAACTGTGACAAATGCTTCAGGATTACTAAGAAAATCCAACATTTTGGCAATATATATAAATTGTCCCTATCAAAACCATAATAGGCAATTAATAACTGTGCTAAGGGTTTAAAATATTTTTTCATCTAATCTTCAAAACAACTCTTCAAGGAAGATATTCTTATCCTCATTATACTGATGAGGAAATGGAAGCTTAGAAAATTTAAATGACTTCCTTGGTGAAAAGAGTAGTTCAAACCTGGGTCAGCCAGATTCCCTGAACCATGGATTTCTAACCTTTGCATCAAAACCACTTAAGGACTTTGTTGTTGTTCAGTTTCTCAGTTGTGTCTGACTCCTTGCAATCCCTTGAACTGCAGCACGCCAGGCTTCCTTGTCCTTCACTATCTCCCAGAGTTTGCTCCAACTCATGTCCATTGAGTTGGTGATGCCATCCAACCATTTCATCCTCTGTTGCCCCTTCTTCTGCCCTCAATCTTTCCCAGCTCAGGGTCTTTTCCAATGAGTTAGCTCTTCGCATCAGATGGCCAAAGTATTGGAGCTTCAGCTTCAGTACCAGTCCTTCCAATGAATATTCAGGGCTGATTTCCTTTAAGATCGACTGGTTTGATCTCCGTGCTGTCCAAGGGAGTCTCAAGAGTCTTCTCTAGCATTGCAGTTGGAAAGCATAAATTCTTCGGCGCTCAGCCTTTGTTACAGTATAAAAGGAAGTAAATGTCAAAGCTCTATCTCACATGTACTGTCAGTCTTGTTGCAGGTTTGGGTTGGGAATGACAATCAAGAACCAGTGCCGCTGTATTCTATACAAAGGGATAACAGAACTTGTGGCACAACACCCCATACTTGACAATTGACTGCTAATTTTTACTCTAGCTATGACCTACAATCAGTTTTGAATCTAAATGTATTACCATCTAACCGAATTCACACTTTTTGTTTTTCCATATTGTGTGAAAGAATGTCTTGAAAGACTTAGTCAGATGTCTTGGAATTTTCTTTTATTATATCAAAGAATAGAGGAAACTTTCTGAAATATTTGCCCTGGGAGCAAATTTCTAGCTATGTCACCACCAGGGATCACATAAAAGCATTAAAAAGTTCGCTACAGAGTGAAAAGAGCTAAACATTCCAGGGTAATATTGGCTTAAAATCATAGTATCTTGGTGACGAGAGAGGCTTTCACTATCAGAATGACAGTAAGTCAGTCACTTTATCTCTCTGTGTGGGTAGGTTGATTTCTCAAGTTTATAAGCCTATGACTAATATAGTTCCCTTGTCCACCCTCTCTTCCCTATCCAAATCACTAATATAAAAAAGAATGCTTTCCTCCACAAGACAACCTCAATATCCACTAGTTCTAAATGGCTTTTCCCTGCACAAAGACAGTGGACAGTAACAGATACCATGCCTGGTTGAATAAACATATCATTGCAAAATTCAGAAATATTATTTACTAGAATGAATGTTTCTGTACTGTTTAGAGTTCTTACACAGGTTTGGTTTTGTTTTTTCCCCTCTTAAAGAGAATGTTTCCATTTCCACAGTTCAGATACTTTTCATTTTAACTGTAATGTTAAGGTCATCCTCAGCACTTTATGTTCTTTGTGTGGGTCTGTGTTCTGGTTTCTAATCTAGTTAACAGTTTTGTTTCCTGGGGGAACTCTCATGATGGTTCCTGCTCGTAATTTCAGCCTTAATATTCTAAGCAGATTTTAGATTCGCTGTTGTGTCACAACTCCTATTTCTAATTTCTTTTTAGAAACTAAACAACAGCAACCACACAGCACTCTCTGGCATATTTTGCTTGTAAGACAGGAGCCATAGGAATGCAATTCCCCAGTATATCCCTTCTTAGGCAAAAACAGGGCTCCAGTTCATTATTTAAAGAAGTCAGTGTGGATTCAAGTCATTTCCTATCCTGCTATCATTTGCTCAAAGACCTTTTGCAATGGGTCTTATGAAGAAATGCAGGAGTTGCTTTGGTGAGATTTAAAGAAACAAGTTTAAGCTAGACCTGAACTGCAGCATCATTTGTATGTGAAACAGGGGCTATAAATGTATCTGTTTTTTCAGATTCACAGAAGGTCAATGATGAGTGAAAAAGGCCCGACATAGTTGGATTACAGGCTGCTGCTTTGGCCTCACCTCTTACCGTTGCCCCTTCCTTTACTGTTCTTCAGCCACACTGACCTCTTTCCTGGTCCTTGAACTTGCCAAGCACATTCCCTTCTTAGGGTCTTTGGCTTTGCTGGTGTTTCTGCATGAAACTGTCTATACAGATAGCCACAGGACTGGCTCATTCTCCTTCTTCAGATCTCCACTCAGGTGTTACTCTGGGAGGTCTTTCCTGGCCACTATAAAATAGCACACTGCCTCCCCACTTCCTGGTCCTTTACTTTTCCTAATGGCATACTCTGGCACGTTATAAATTTAAGGCTTTTTTTTTTTTTTTTTGTCGCTGTTATCAGAGTACAAGCTCCAGTAGGGCAAGGGGTATGCGGGTTGTGTTCACATAGCATTTTGGGGGTCCTACCAAGAATGGCAAACAGTAGGTGCTCAGTAAATTTGCTGAACCAATGAATGAGGCTCTTCGGGATGGTGGAAATTCTCATTTGCCTGGCACTGCCGCCAGTCCACAGGCATCTGGGCACCTCATCCCAGCCTCATTTCTTTCCAGGAGAAGTGACTGATTGGAATCAGGCTCCCAGAACTGCACTGGCGCGAAATGGTGCGTTAGGAACACGTTGCACCAAACCCTCGGCGCGACTTCCCTCGGCCTAGCGACCAAGGCTGTGGAACGACAGGTCTGTTGCACTCCGAACGTGGAAGGTAAAGCAGAAAAAGACAACCGTGAGCAGGACGGGAAAGTCTCTCTGCGGTGCCAGGTTGTTCGCTGGGGAGCCCCTACCCGGCCGGGCTGACTCACTCCCAGCCGCCTTCACGGCGGGCGGCGGCCACGCACACGCCCATCTGCGGAGGGCCCGGCCCAGCTCAAGTTCCCCACCCGCTCACGCCCAGGGGCCACCGCGGGAATCTCCGCGCACGCCAGTTTGTTTCCCGAGAAGCCCAGGTTCTGCGTAGCCAGTCGCCGGCCGTCCCCGGCGCGCGTCGGTGAAAGCGCAGCCTGGGTGGAGCGGCGCACGCGCAGTCCGGGGGTGCGCGCCAGGCGCCGGCCCCGCACCCAGGCGGTCTCTGCAGTGAACCAGACGCCAGACCCGAGGCCAACTGGGAGGCTGAGTCGGACGTAAATAGGACGTCCCAGCCAGTGTCGCCTGCGGCGCTGAGAAGACGAGTGAGTCCGGAGAGGGTGGAGACGACGACTGTGACGGGCTTCCCGGTTGCCCAAAGGGAGTGGTGTGGGTTGCAGGAAGGAGAGAGGAAGAGGAGCCGGAGCGGGCCGCAGCGGCCGACGCTAACGGCCTTCCTGAGCGCTGACAGGCTGGGCCCGCGTCCTGCTCGCTCCACACTGCGCGCCGCCGCCTCGGCCCCCCGACCCCTTGGGTCCGGACTTGGTGGCAGCGCGTCGGAGCGGAGGGCTTCTGTTGCAGCGCAGGGAAAGGCCAGATCTTCGCCGCCGAGGGATGTGAGTGAGAGCCGAACCCGCACGGGAGGGCCCCCGAGGTCTCAGCCTGGGGTACACTCGGACCTTTGCCTGCTCCAGGGGCTTCGCAGACCGTGGCCAGCCGGAGGCACCGGGTAAGAGCCGTCCCCTCGCGCTTGGGGGCGCGTCCTCGTCGCCACATCCGTGCGGCGGGTGAGTGTTATTGCTTGCTGCCTGGGCTCCAGGTGGAGGGCAGCTCCTCTCCACCCCGCTCCGCCTCCCTCGCTGCTAGTGTCAGTAAACTTCCCGGCAAGAAAATCCTCCTTTTTAGAAGGAAACCTTGGACGGAGTGTCTTGCTGTTGATATTTGCATCCTTATGTGCCTCATACTCCTCCTCGCCTTTACTTATCCCTCTTTAAAATTTTCTAGACATCTGAACAGCCTAGAAAAGAGCATCTATTTCCCCTGGATTTCTGCGGTAGTAACTGCCGCTTTTTTTTTTTTTCCTTTTAGGTTTCGGAGGCAGGCAAGGCAACAAGATGTGATCTGTTTCTCTTCTTCATCCCCTTTCCCCGAAGGTGGGTAAGCGATCCTGACTGCAGTCCTTTTTCTCTGCAGTCCTTTTTCTCTGCAGCAAAGACGAGGGTGTTTTGAGGTGTGAGTCTGTGCGTAGGAAGGTTGGAAGCGTGTGTCGACAGGCAGGGCTCATTGTTGCTTGCTTCTTTGAAAATGGCAGTGCTGAACTTTGAATGTTGCCCTGGGAGGGTAAATTTGGGCTTTATTGTTGTTCTTTAAGAAACAGTCGTTATTTATTTCTCTGCTGATTGTACATTGTTTTTCTTTGCAGAGAAAACGTCATTCAATACTCTTTCTCCTCAAGCAGCAGAAGATTCTTAATCTTTGAGGGAGGAACATTTTCAAGTAATAAGAGATACCTATTGAGAGGACGCGTTAGCTGCTCTTGCTGGGGTTTCTGCTACCGCATAGAATGCTTTCTGGACAGTTTTATCTGCTTAAGTTTGCTGTGTCGGTTGAATTTACCCATTTTGCTTTCCGGTGGTTATTAATCTGTCCGGAGGAACTCCTTTTCTCTGAATGAAAGGATAGAGGCAGCTGAGTATGTCATAGGGGGAGGAGAAATGTGGAGAAGGAAACTGCAAGTGGGAATAAGCGATGACGATTGGTTTTGGTTTCATAATAGGTTTGTACAAGTTGGGCTACTGCAGGTATTCTGATGGAACACCCAGAGGATATTAAGATGAATAATCAACCTTTTTCCTCCCTTTCCCTTCCCCCTTTACCATTTTGGGTATGAGAATCCCTTGCTCCTGTGTGCACTATCTTTTAATATGTAACATATCTGCAAACTGGATGTGTCCAGCATTTGCCTTAGCATGTATTTACTGTTACAGGAAAACTACAGTACTTGCTGACTAGATAAGCATACAATGCTTATTTCTTTCTCTGAGTGTCCTACGTTTGGAGTATTCAGCATGTTTTAGGAACTCATTAAAGAAGAGTTTGCTTCATTTGCTGGTTTTTCCTAGTGATTTGAGACAGGTGTCTCAGGTATAGGAAGGGAGCATGGTTTTTTCCTCTTATTTCAACTGGCTGTTTCTCAAAGATGAGATGCTTTTTAGACCAAATAGGGACGGACCTTAACTTTGGGGTCAGATCTGGGTTTGAATTCTGGTGTTCCTGCCTTTTAATAGTGTTATTTAAAATCTCTTTGAGCCTCACTTTCTTATAAGATTGTTTTGGAGATTGAATAAAATTATTCATGCAAAGTAGTACATTGCTTGGCCACTGTGAAAGTCATGGCTATTGTCCTGACTGGGTAGGCTAAAGAAAGGATGTTAGAAAAGGGCAGGATGACTGCATAAGGTGATCTGCCAGTGACTGGTGTTTCTTCCTTTTTAGTCTAAGGAGAAAAAGGACTTTTATATCTTGAACTGGTTAAGGGGTCTTAGAGCCTTTTTATGGAAAAGTTTGACCCTTATCATCTCTCCTCACAAATGCACTGCCCCCTGCATTTGTGCTGCCGCTACCTACTGTTGTGCTGCCCTCTTGTGGTTAACCGGGCTAATAAGAATTTTCTTTTGCTCCTCTCCCATTTTTTTTTTTTTCTTTTCTTTTCTTTTCTATTTAGCCCCCTTCCCTTTGCTCCCAGTTTCTCAAATTGTGTGCTGGGGTGCCCCAGGGTGCCGTTGAACTCAGGCTTGAACTGATAATTTGAGGTAGTTCAGTTTTAACATTAGATTGACACATTCCTTTCTACAATGTCATGTTTTTGCATAGCTGTATTTTTAAAGGTTGCTCTGATAAAAAGCAACTACTGTATGAAATAGAATACTGGAATGTGATGTTGTCCAGTTTGATTCCAAGTTTGAGAGTTTGTACAGAGCCCAACAAACACTAAATTATAAGGACATTAATACTTAAGTGGTTTGAAACCACCCCCATGTAAGTATTTCTTTTGGTCTGGGGGTGCTATGAAAAAATTACTAAGTATAAGGATTCCCTAAATGGAGAAAGTTTGGAAGCCTTTGCCTTAGTTTTTGGTTGGCTTCTGATTTAAAAAAAAAACGAATGGAAAAACTGCATTTTTAAATGTTGTTCACTAATTGATGCCCTTCCCCAGCAAAGTTATTGGTACAATTATTAATACAAAGTTAGTACCAGCTGATCACAGCTTATGCTGTTTACTCTCCTATTTAATATCTTTATAGCTACTATCTAGTTCCTTTATTTTACAGTGATCCGTCATTCTGATTACTTTCTGGTTTCTCTAGTACTGGTTTTCTACTAGTATTTTTTACTATCTCCTTAAACTTAACTTTGCCCCAAATGAAAATCATCTTTTTTATGCCCCTTTGTAATTTCCTTCCCTCTGTTGGCCATACAGACTTTAAACATAATCTTTAAGCTGCCTCTTGTTTATCTCACATACTAATCCATTCACAATGTCCTATTCATATTTATTTTGTCATCCATACCTCTGCTTCTCCCACTTTTACTACCTGAATCCCAGGACTCATCCTTAGCCTAGAATATTGGAAGTCATATCAACCCCTTTGAATCCATCATCTCTTCCTTCTGTAAATACCACTCTGATACTCCTTTTTGTGGCACTCTCTTGCTCCCAAATCCTCAGTGGCCTCCTACATTCCACCTGTTAAGTTGAACTTTTTTTCCCTGGCTTTCAAAATATTCTGTCATCAGCCCCTGCCCTGTTTATTCAGTTTTGTCTAAGGACCTTCAGCAAGCATCCTCTGCTCTAGTATTGCAAGCTGTGTCTCATACTTCCTAATAACAGGTAAGGTTATTCTGTTTTTTAACTTTCACACGTTTTCCATCCTTCTTCCAGTAAGTCCAGTTCTACATCCCATTGCATGAGTCACTAGGTGTGGAATAACTGAGCAGAGCCTCAGTCTCCTCATCTGAAAACTGAGAATTGTACTTTTTCTGTAAGCTCGTAGTGAGAATTACATGATACATGAAAAACCCTCAGGAATAGGGCCTGGCACATTAAGGACTCCCAGACATAAAGTAAACTCCTTTACCAATAAACTATTGTCATAATTATACAATGCTCTGAATATAATAAGCTAGTATTATTAAAACATTTATTACCACTACTACTAAGTTAAAAGTTCCACCTCATTCGTGGAAATGTTTCTCACTAACTCTTACTTTTTTCCTCTCTACAGTTCTATAGTTCTTTTAGTCTTAGCATATCATCATATAGTTTAATTATATATTGTACTTTGGTTGTTTGATAATTATTTCTCTGTTATCCACATCTTTTCAAGTTGATTGTGTATGAGAAACAAAATTTAGATTAAACCCACACACATACAAACCCACAATGCTGAGTACATGGGGAACATTCAAGAAATGCTGTGTATTAAAAAGGAATTTTAGGCCATTACCAGACAAATATTTATTCATATCTACAACATAGAGGTACTTTGCTATATATCCAAAAGAGATGCAGAAAAATGTAAAGCAGGTTCCTTTCCTTGAGGACTTATAATGTAATAGGGGAGATAGGCAAATAATAAAAGTTATAAATCTCTGATACCATATAAGGTTGAAGTGAGCAGACAAAGATCCAGAGAAGAGATAGAATCAAAACTGGGCAGAATTTAATTTTACATGAGAGGAAGAAACTTGTATAGGAAGTAAAGGCAAAATACGCAGGACAGGATCAGAGAACAGTACATAACAAGTTGACTGAAGTGAAGGTTTGTGTGGGAGAGTAGTAAGAAATCAGGTGAAAATGTTTGGGATTAGATGGATGGATGTCTTTAAGTGCAGGGTTAGAAGAATGTACTTTGATTCATAGGTAATAGACAAGCTTTAAAGGTTTCACAGTGAGAAAGAACTTGCTTAAAAAAGGTATTTTAAGAAAATCACAGTGGCACCAGAGCTGGGTAGAGTATGAGTTGGAAAGAGAAGTGATAGACCTAGAAAAATCATCTAGGCCTGAGGTAGTGAGAATTTGAATTTAGTAAAAATAAGACTGGAGAGATGTCACGCAAGACTTTGTTTTGGATTGGATAAGAAAGGAAGATGTAGTGCGGGGAAGGAGAGGAGTGATCAGAGATGACTGAAGTTTTGATCCGCAGTGACCAGAAATTAGTGTTGAGAACATGTGCATTAGGAAACCTAGAAAGGTTTAAAAATATGGCCAAAGACACTCATTTAGTTGATGACAAAAAAAAGAACAAGGATTTAATTAATGACTGTACTGACAGAAATAGGTATGAAATATTAGCTAGTTGTCTGGGCTTGTAGTTTGGATTTGTTGAGTTTGAGGTGACAGTGAGATAAGCACGTGCAAACAGATCACCAGAGAGTGGGACAATGTGAATAGAACTTAGTAAAGAAATTTAAGGCTGAAATTGTTGTGCTTAGAGAGAAAAGCAGGGGATCTGAGATTGAGCCTTGGGAACTGCACATACTTGGAGAGTGAGTGAAAGAAGAGGAATTGGCCAAGGCAACAAAGACAGTTAATATGAGAGGCAAGTGAGTGGGAAGGTTAAGAAGGTGGGAGTGGTTATCAAGTTGATCATGGTTGATCACTGCCAAAAAGTGAGAAGACTCAAAATTGAAAAAGGCCTTATAAATGTTTACTGGTGTTTTTCTTAATATAAAACCTAGAAAAGCAGAAGAAAGAAGAAAATTGCTTATGATTTTCCTGTGCAGAAGTAACCACTGTTAATATTTTGTTCTCTCTAGTGTAACAGACAACCTCTGAATTTGATTTTTGGTTGATTGATGGAGACTTTTTTTCAAAGCTCTCCATCCCTGGGACTAATGATGAGAATTTTAGACATAGTAAAGACCAGAAGGTATTTTTTGAAAGAATGTTTGTCATTTATCTGTGTCCTCTCATATCGTACTACATAGGCGCCCACCCAGGCTAGAACACTGGAGTGGGTTGCCATTTCCTTCTCCAATGCATGAAAGTGAAAAGTGAAAGTGAAGTCGGTTAGTCGTATCCGACTCTTAGCGACCCCATGGACTGCAGCCTACCAGGCTCCTCCATCCATGGGATTTTCCAGGCAAGAGT